CCTTTCTGGCTCTCACCAGCCCGCCCCCAAACGCATGGGTGAAAAGTCTAACAAAACTCAAGGATTGCTCGCTAAATGTACCATCAAATGACAACTCTCGGTTAAAATTCTGGAGCGAATGGAAAACTGTGCTGCTGAGACTCAACCCTGACTGAGAGATTTACCCGCAGCCAAGACGAGTAACATCTCTTTTGGGCGACTTCTCGCAGCAAGATCCTTCCTATGTACATCCTCTGTCAATCCTCAGTGTCGTCGTCACCGCGCTGAGGTACACCACGGCAGCAACTTTTCATATGCTGGCTAGGAAATAATGTCCGATAAAGTTATACCCCACGGCACACATGCAAGCTCAAAGTCCGACGATCATAATTCGTACCGAATAGGAAAAAGTCCAAATGTCTGTATCCACTGGTCCCACTCGTCCGAGTGTTGGGACCAAACAGGTGAAGCCACGCCTGACGCATTTTGCTTCCCCATTCTGTCGTGCTAAGGGCACAGCTGAAGCAACGTTAAAGGTGTCTAACGTACGATGAAAAATAATGTACCTATTTGTGTGGCCAGAAAAGTCCTGGACCTGCGGGCTGCTTCCCGCTGATCTCCGGAGAGCGCAGCCTTGTAGCACGGGAAGTTCAATACACGGTTGTGAGGTTAAGCAGTCATGGGCAGGACGTGACGATTCCTTGGGTGAGCCCAGAACCAGAGCATCATGTGTCGGCTCTGCTTTTATGGAAGCCTCCTTGGATAGTGGGGAATGCCCATGATCTGCCCCTGCCTTCCCTTGAGGGCCGAAAATTCTACCTAGGGCTGCCTTAAGGACGACATTCCGGGAGCCACACCTGTTAAAGGTCAAAGAGGACACCACACAAATGAGGCAACATCTCGACCCACACAAAACAATGGCCACATTCAACCTAGAAATAGGCTTGACGTCTTCCCTCGAAGTCGGATTACATCTGCCGGAGAAGCGGGGAACGAGAACTGCAAACAAATAAGCCACTAAAACGGATGTACACGCAAAACTCAGGTCAAGGTAAAAGCCAAAAATCCATTTGGACGAACAACCGCGACTTACCGCCGGAATTCACAGCCGGTGAACAAGAAGAAGTAGAAGAAGAAGAAGGAAACACCGATGCAGTCATCTATATACCCATGAAAAGGCAGACATAGCTGCGTCCCATCTTGGTGCCCATGATACGTAAGGTAAACAGCACACCGGCTGCTTTTACTTTCCAAGACATTACCTGGATAAGAGATATAGTCACATTTTTTTTCGCAAAATGCGTCACGGATGGCAGTGATGGCATCGCTTTTGTGCAGTACGAGACCAGTCATTGCAACCGCCGTGTCTGTCAGATCAGGCTCGCTGTTTCAAACATCGTCATTCCCCCGACATATGTTCAAAGCTTAGACCAGACAGCCATGCGAGATGTGCTTGATCGTCTTCTTCTTCGCGTTCACCAGTTATAAACTCCGCAGAAAGTTTTAGTTGCTCGACTACTTCTGAGTTTTGTTCTTGTTCTAGAACCTGAATTGTGCGTGCATATCCGTTTTACACATCTGGCTTATTTGTGTACAGGTTGTTTGTTCCTCACCTCTCAGGCAGCTGCACTCCGACTTCAAGCAAAACGGCCCTTAAAAGTCAACTTTTATGACATGCTTATTAGAGGGCAGTGGGTCTACCCACAGTGGGATATGTTGCGTGAGTCAATTCAGCAGACATCAAGAGAGACAATCCCACCAACCCATAGAGGTGCAAAAAAGAAATGGATGTCAACCGAAATTCTGCAGTTGATGGATGAAAAAAGGAAGAAAAAGAATGATAAAGAATAATTCTTTAGAATACAAAAAGAAATAGTGAATAAATGCAAAGTTGCTAAAGAAGCCTGGTTGAATCAAATGTGTACAGAGGCTGTCGAAAATTAAAGGAAAGACTCACATTCCATGTACCAACAGATAAAAATGTTAACAGGAAAGATGACACGTAACAGCACTGGATGTTTAAAATCAAAAGATGGTGACTTATTAATGGGACAAAGTAATATAATTAACAAATGGACAGAGTATGTTTGGGAATTGTATGATAATAATAGACCAGATGTAGAACTGCGGACCAACAATAATGGTCCACCAATAATGACTGCAGAAGTCGAGGATGCATTACATCATATTAAGAAAGGAAAAGCCCCTGGGCCAGACAATATATCACTGGAAGAAATCGAAGCACTGGGAGATTTTGGAATGGAAATAATAACTAAACTGTTAAATGATATTTATAATAGTGGCTATATTCCATAGTTATAGCTCTGTCACAGTAAAAAAAGGGACACTTTAAAATGTGAAGACCATCGCACAATAAGTCTTTTGAGTCACATGACTAAGATTTTACTGAGAATAATTATGAGAAGAATAAGAAACAAAATTAAACCAGAAATCAGCGAAAACAATGTGGATTTGTAGAAAGAAAAGGTAAAAACAATGCCATATACATCATAAGGACATTGTCAGAAAGAGCTATAGAAGTAAAGACTGTTTTGTACTTGTGCTTCATAGACTATACAAAAGCATTTGACTGTGTAAAGCATGAAGAAGTAATCAAACTGTTAGAAAAATTAAACATTGATGGGAAAGATCTACGAAAAATAACTAAAATTATTAAAATGTCTTCGCAGCAAACAGCAGCTTTAAGAATTGACAACTTTTTAGGTACACTTCAAAGCTTAAGTACAACAAAGATGGCTGCTGTCACTTGATTTGTTTTCACTATATAGTGAATATATAATGAGATCTTTAATTGATATGCCCGGAATTGTGGTTGGTGGGCACAATATAAACAATTTGCGTTATGCTGATGACACAGTCTTGATAGACACTGTGGTGTTGGAAAGTGGAAGAATGACCCTCAGTTTGAATAATGGGAAGACAGAAGAATTGGTGGTATCAAAGAAACGAATTATTCCTAAATGTGTAATAAAAGTCGATGGTGCTATTTTGGGACAAGTACACAAATTTAAGTATCTGGGGACATGGATAACATCAGATGGAAGATGCATTATTGAGATAAGAAACAGAATAGAACAGGCAAAAACTGCATTTTATAAAATGAAGTACATATGGCTGTGAATCCTGGACAATCGGTAGACAGGCCAGACAATTTCTTTAGGCCTCAGAGATGTGGTTTTACAGAAGAATGCTTAGAATACCTTGGACAGCCAAAAAGAGCAACCTAGAGGTTTTGAAAGAGGCCGGAGCCTGAAGACAAACAACTTATCACATACTTCAGAAGGAGACAGTCATCATTTTTTGAACATGTTGTGACTACTGGAAAGATATGTGGAAGGAGGGACAGAGGAAGACAACGAGAGAAGATTCTTGACAGTCATGTTGTATAGCATGGAAGTGTGTCGCCACACGAACTGATACATGCTGCAGGAGATCGCAGATTGTGGAGAGGCATGATCGCACACGCCAGTCGGCAAAGCACCTGATGATGATGATGGGTTTACCCCTCCCCTTTTCACACACACACACATACACACACACACACCTACACACACTCACGCACCCACGCACGCACGCACACACACACACACAGTTTGAGAAATGCCACCCTGGTATCAAATTTGATGAAAAGGAAAATCCCAAACTGCACCTCCAAGTGGTGGAGGGTGGGAAACACACCATAGTGTGGCTAACGCAAATACGGGGACCGAGTATCCACCAGAATAAGTGGATCACTCCACAGCTAGGCAGATAGTCGGAAATTACTGTCAAAGGTGCAGGTTAAAATACCCCATGTGTATGTGGATTACAACGGAAAACCCCATTATGTTCGCAAGAAAACTCAGATCGTCATCAGGTTACTGATGGCAATTTTTAAAAAGTTAAGAAAATTAATAGTGTTAAACTAACAACGTGGAATGTGAGAACACTTGCAAAATTGGGAAAGACAGAAAATGTTATAAAAGAAATGGAATGTATGAAGATAAACATCCTAGGAATTAGTGAAATGAGATGGAAGGGTGCTGGAAAGATAAGAAAAAGATAAGTACACATAATATACTTGGGAAGCGACAAACATGAAAGGGGGAAGGGGTGGGAATACTTTTTGATAAAGAAACAGCAAAAGCAATTGTAGATTACTTGAGTATATCAGATAGGGTTATTATAGTTAAAATCAAAGGCAAACCAATAAATATAAACATAATACAAGAGAATGCCCCAACATCAGTTAGCAGTGAAGAGGAAATTTACGAAGATTTAAATCTGACAATTGCCCAAACAAAATCACAAGAAATTAAAATAATATTGGGAGATTTTAACGCAAAAGTTGGGAAAGACAGAACGGTTTATGTAGTTGGAGAATATGGTTTAGGATCAAGAAATGAATGAGGTGAAACTGGTAGAGTGGGCGAAAATAAATGATATGATGAGTTACAAGGGGATCTGACCGACGCTCGAAACTCAGGGGAAAAGCGAGACAGAGATACAATCAGACAGTTACTAGTAATTTTAACTTTTCGCTTGTTGCTGATGATGGTGACTGAGCGCTTATGGTGATGTCGATTCTCAATTCAACATTTAAAATAAATTACTGCTACAAAATATGAACGTAAATCTATAGTCTATGCTGAATTGATTTTACATAGTCTTCTGTAGTTTAAGTTTTTATACGAAAATTAAAATCTTAAGACAAAATATCACATACTTCTATATATAACTACAAATATAATAAAATAACAACTAAGATTATTTGAAATATTTATGAAGTTTAATAAATATGACAAGTTTTTATAAGCGTCAGGAAAACCCTGAGCTTTCAGACGAGGAAGGACAGTGTCGGTTGGGTTGATGCTAGCGATGGGCGGCCATATTCCCACGCGTAGCATTATTGTTAAACAGTTTTAATAATGGATTAATTGTGGAACTGATGTAGACCTACTTCGTCTAGGAAATTATTTATTTGTTTTTAACCAGGCTGTTGAAAACGGAAACCGCTAAAAATGGAAGCAGTTAGAGCTTTCAATAATGAGGTAAGATATAGGAGGAGTTGTTGTCATATTCGAAACGATGGTGTCGCCCGGTGAGGTTGTTGGAGTTGGTCAGTTGGTGGTGGTGTCAGACTGCGTTTGTGTTTGTTGTATGTAGCAGAGACGATGTTGTCTTACGGTTTGGATGTTAGAATGGTAAATACTAGAACGTTTTCTTTGAGCACATACGCTCATAATTTGCACACTCACTCAATGTTGATTGATCTGTTGGTGTTGCGACGGTAGCCTGCAGACTCTGAGTCAGTTTGTTTGTCAACCAGGGAATAATTAAATAAATACTAACTACACTACTACACTTTGCAAAACATTGCGGGAGTGTGTGGCTCGGGAACGTACACATTTATAAAGCTCTAAATAGATTACCACAATGAACAAACAACTGGAAAATCGTATCAATTTATTGGAGATGTGGATATACAGAAGATTAGGTCGTATTTCATGGAAACAAAAGCTATCAAATACAGAGGTACTGAGGAAATTGGGAATGAAAAGAGAGTTGCTAGGTGAAATAAAAAAGAGACAAGTGAAATATTTTGGTCACATTAAAAGAAAGACATAACACTAATAACAGTATTCAGTATTGTAAAGATCATCCTAGAGGGAAAGGTTCAAGGTAGGCAAGCAAAAGGCAGACAGCGTTACAAGTGGGAGGATAACATCAAGAGATGGACGCACAGCAGTATGAGTGAGTGTACATCAAGGGCAAAAGACAGGGCTTGTTGAAGATCCATTGCAGCCAACCTTTATTGTGGATACGGCACCTGATTGATTGATTGAAATAGATTACCAGATTACATCTGTCAAAATGTATGTGTTTTGACGTTAATCATAAGATAATGTAAGGAACACCTGTCCCAGCTGTACTTTGCTACATGATCCTGTTGTGCCGTAATAATATGTTAAACATGACATAGGTTCGGGTACTCATGACAAAGTGTCTGAGAGTAGCTCCCAAAAAATTGCCTAAAATTAACTAAAATGAGGTGCCGTACACTGTACCACTGCGTTTCACCCCCCAAAAAAAAACCTTGCTATCCAGTCTTACTTACTGTTTCGATAATCATTGATCAAATGCAGTCTATGGATGGTTTCTAGTTCTTTCATTATCATTCACCTCATAGAATTTCTTTTGAACATTCTTGCCTCCTCATCCATTTGTTTCCTATTTATTTATTTTTAGTGTCTATTTGGTGTTTCTCTGTATTTTTATAATTGTTGATATCTATTTAAATATTTATGTCCAGACATATATTTCTCTTATTTCTTCACCCTTCTTAAATTCACCCCCTCCCCTTCCACCTCCCAATGTGGCTTCCAAGCCCCATTTGGTGAATGATACTGGATGGGGGCAGAGGAATACCCCTCCCCCACAACAAAAATGTAATAGTAATAGGAAATGACTAATTATGGCAGTTTCCTTTGAAGTCCAGAGTGCTTTTGCCAGTGAGGCAAGAAATCAACAGTCTGCATTCTTCAAAATAAGCCATATCTTTAAAACAGATGTGCATACCGAACTATATTTTGCTACCAAACCAGTTGAAGAACAGACGATAAAAAAATAGACCAGATCACCAGGCTACAGAGTACAGTAAACTAAAAATATACAACGCACGCTGTTAGTGGAAAAATGTCTTGATACAGGCAGGGGTTGTTAGTCACGCTCGTCTTCGCCATTGGGCTGTGATTCCTGTGAAAGGTGCCAACAAAAAATGGACTTGACACAGCGTGTGTCACCAAGATGAAGTGCAACCAATTTTGACCAATGTCAGTATAAATAAACAAATAAAAACAAAAACCTCTTCTTTTTTTTTCAGCTTTCCTCATTGTATGAGAGTAAGCCGCCAGTGTCCAGGGCCAAGATGGCTCAGGTCACCAAGTCTGCCATCAAGGCCATAAAATTTTATAAACATGTTGTTCAGAGTGTTGAAAAATTTATTCAAAAGGTAAGTCTGCTTTCCTCTTTAATCTGTTTTGGTTTTGTCAGTGCTTGTTTAAGTTGTAATTTCATTACTACACAAATTTTGAAAGTTGACCAGCCTAAAATAGGTACCAGGTAAAGTCCTGTGATGTAAAGGCAGTCGGCATGATTTTAATAACTCTGTGCTGATTGGTCAGTAAATATATACCTGACATTATATGCCTGATGTGCCATTGATGTAGAAAAGGAATATTTTACTTACTTATTAAGTTATAGCCACAAACATTTATTTCTGCTTCCATCTCTCTTTTTTCCTTTTCAAGTGAGGTCAGAAGAGCAGAATGTAAAATGAGCCTGCATAGCCAGTTCATAACTCTTTGAAAATAAAGTTTTTTCATTCATTCTGTTTCACTGTCTGTCTTCTTATCTCTCTCCCCTTTTCTTCCTCTTGCTTTCTCTTTCTCTCCTTTCCCCTCTTTCCTCCTCAGTTTTTGTCTGTTTATATCTCTACTCATTCACAAATAATATTTTATACTTTAGAAAAGTATCTGTTCTACAGAGATATTTCTTGGTTGCTGGTAGTCCTATAACTGAGGATCTGTGGTAGCACAGGCTAGTATACTTGCCTGCTGGGTCTGTGTTCATGTTGGAATCTACCCATAACAGAGATTTAAAAAAAAAACTGCATTACTAATCCTTCCAGAAACGAGGTTGTAAGGTACTTCTACACTCCACAGTAGAAGAGGAAAGACTAAGATATCTCTACACCTCAAGGTAGAAGAGGAAAGACTAAACAAGTCTAAAGTACCTCTGCACCTCAATGTAGAAGAGAAAAGACTAAACAAGTCAAAAGTACCTCTACACCTCAAGGTAGAAGAGGAAAGACTAAACAAGACTAAAGTACATCTACACCTCAAGGTAGAAGAGGAAAGACTAAACAAGACTAAAGTACATCTACACCTCAAGGTAGAAGAGGAAAGACTAAACAAGACTAAAGTACATCTACACCTCAAGGTAGAAGAGGAAAGACTAAACAAGGTAAAATACCTAAAATTAAGGTAAATAATGTCTCAGAATGGGGGAGAAAAGACTAAACAAATTATATTTTTTCAACGCTCTAGAATAGTTGATAAAAGGCAGAACTAGTCAAAGTGACCCCACCATCTTGCTGTAAACAACAACAAAACGTGCCAGCCACCCTTTTAAGGACAAACAAACAGTATATAAGAAACTATAAGTGAATGATTCTTCATATTTTGTTTTTGTTTTTTAAATTCCAGTGCAAGCCTGAGTACAAAGTCCCAGGTTTATACGTCATAGATTCCATTGTTCGACAGTCCAGGCATCAGTTTGGCCCCGACAAGGATGTTTTCTCTCCTCGTTTCACTAAAAATATTGTGACTACCTTTACCAATTTATTCAAATGCCCAGTCGATGAGCGGGTGAGTATCTTTTTCTGTCCTTTCTATTTTCTTGTATCATAGATGTTTATGATTTTGTGCAGGGAGTCTCCATGGCAATGGGTGATGTTGTCAGTTTCCATCTTTACTTCCCAGGACATTACCTGGTACCCATTTTAGGCTGGGTTACCTTTGGGAGCTAAGTTCAGAAAAAAAATCCCTCTCAGAGTGGATTTGAATCCTAGACCTTCAGGCCAGCAGATGATCTGTCATTGGTCAGTTCACTCATAATTTTTGTGTCTTTTGTTATTATCAGCTTTTTGCTACTAGGCATCTCAGTTTAACAGATGATGAGTTACGGAGCCAGGAAACGCTCAGTTGCTTGGTATGCTGTGTCTAACATGTGGTCGATGGATAAGTGCCAACGCTGTTGTATTAATGTGCTTTCTGTGCTTGGGCTTCTGGCCCGTGACGATCCCTATTACACATTTTTTCCCTCTAAATTAAGCTTAGTTGAATAGCCCGGCTATACTCCGAATAACGGCCACATATTATATCGGCTAAAAACAGGGCCTCAGTCACATTTAAATTGTGGACTTCCGGCGACCATACCGCCACCGCCGAGAGTATCTTCCACGCTGCTACGCGCGGCGCGGGGCTAAGCTAGATTGCTGGGACTAAGTAGCAAAGCTGCAGGAGATGCTGAAGCTGCTGCTCGTGTGTCTCCGCAATCTAATTTACATGTGACTGAGGCCCTGTCAGGGTGTCTTTTTGGCCTCCATAATATGTGGCCGTTATTCGGAGGATAGCCAAAAGCTCTGTTATAGGTTGCCAGTGACTCCTTCAGTCGATATTCTTTTTAGGTTTCCCTCTACGTTTTGATGTTTTCTGTTTATTTTGTATGCTCTGGTTACTGTCGGGATCTGAGCCATAATGAACACCTAAATATTAGATACATTCGGGAGGAGAGGTGCTCTCTCCACTTTCTCAAATTCATGCCTACACATATAAGAGATGGCTATAGAACTCCATTGATGCATCACCATGATAAAGTCAGGAGACAAGTTAATGCATAAAGTTTGCAAGTGCCTTTATATCATTGCTTTTGTTACTTATATATTTCATGTTTTTCCTCAGTATGTATAAATGTTTGCAGTTGGCTTTAAGTCATTATTTGTCTTATATTTATGCTTTTCCTGAGTATGAACAGTAAATCTCATTAACACAAATTCCAAAGGGCTGATTTCTTAAGCGAGATCATGTTAATAAGATGTTACTGTACAAACTTTTGCAGTTGACTATATATAATTTTTGTCAGATTTCATGTGTATTTACAAAATGATTGCTTATTTCAGAGCCGTGTGGTCAGGGTTCTCAACTTGTGGCAGAAGAACAATGTGTTTCCAATGGAGGTTATTCAGCCACTCCTGGACCTGGCTGCAGATCCAGAGAATCCAGATTTGGTGATTGCAGGTGGCTAACTTGACTTCATTGTGTTTAGTTTATATTGGGGTATCTGTGGTCAAGTCATCAGTCTCACACTCAAGGGTTGTGGGTTCATTTTTGGACTGTATTGCCGTTGCAAAGTTCTTAGTATGTGTTTTGGAGGATCCCTGGGAGTTGCTATTGTTTATTTTTTGATAAAGACTTTGTTTGGAATGTTTAGTTGTGTTTGATCATGGTTTTTTCCTTCTCCTCCACGGCTGGGCTTCACAGTTGTCAAACATAGATTTGAGTTTAATGAATTTATTTTCTAATATAGTGAATTTATTTCCTAATATCAGCTTGACTGTTGACATCACTATTTTCAACACTTTATGTACTGAGAAGACTAGTATAAAGCACTTTAAACATGTTGCTTCCATCAGTTCAGCTTTAGTCGTAAACATATTCTTACATACTTGAGGCTGTTGTTTTCCCTTGACTTCAAAATGTTGTAAGATTTATATGTTATAAATATTCTGTAGTTGAATTGTCTTAGTACTGTGGAATATAAGTTTATAGGTAGCACCATGTGTACTGTGTAAATCGACTATTAATACTAATCTGTGTCTCTTGTATGCCCTAAATAACATAATGTCAGCTTACATGTTATATCCAGTATGTAAAATATTGTTTGCCCACTTTGTTTCTGATTTGTTTATTAGTCACACATTATGTACAGTTGTTGACCTGTATTTTTTTCTCTCACTAGCTCAAAGATCAGTGGATGATGTGGTTAGTTCTACCCAGAAGGTGCCTCTGCCAGGGACCCAGGCAAGCAGCAATGGAGATGATTCCAACCAGATTCTGCAGCAGACAGAGATGCTGGCAACTATCACCAAACTCTTGCAGCAGGCTCAAGAGGTATGTCTGGGAACGAGAGGCATGCTGGCAGGGCAGGGAGGTCTGTGTGCTTGTGGGATCACCCACTTCCTAATTTTATTTTCTCTAAAGCGTTGAGCTAGTAGGCTTCTTTTCTGTCTTAACAGGGAATGGCTGTAAACTCCGGCGGAAAGTTCTGGTCATTTGTCCACTTCTAGATTTTGTTCTTATTCCAGAACCTGAATTTTGCCTGCACATTTGTTTGACAGATCTGGCCTATTTAATTTCTTCTTCTTGTCATCTTATGTTTCTGCATGCCGAAGTATACATCAGTGCCTGGGGCTTGAGAGTTCCAAGCGTGGTTTCTAATTCCGAAATATCTGGTTTGATTAAGCTGCCGGCAGTGGCAAAATACTGAATGTAAAATTGCCTATGGAAACCAGAAACCGCCAACAAATGATGGGGTTGCAGTGTCCAATAAAGGATATGCAACTAACTAGTATATGTGAATGCCTGACACTTCAAACTCCCATGACAGTACTTGCCCTGCAACTGTTTTTACCCCCATAAGCTTATCTTTCCACACCCCCCCCCCACCTCTTTTTTTTTCTAAGCAAAGCTAGAATAACCTTTGCCACAGTATTATTAATCCACATATTTTATTTCAACAATTGTGTATGTGAAAGCTTAAGACATAAACTCCTGCACCAGGATCTGCCCAGCATCTATATTTATAAAAGACAAGAGATATTTTCATGCCACAGAGGCGTTTTCATAGAACTAGGAAATCCGGAAGTCAAAAGACATTAAAACTTTTCATTCAGATGTAAAATCAGATGTCCCAACTTTCCCTCAGAATGAACATAGAGAAAGTAATAATCCGAGCCCACGTCATGTATCTCCACAGGTCTCATTAACCGGCATAGCTCCAGAATCCCAGCTGCAGCAGCTACAGCATCTGCAGCAGCAGCTCATGATGCAGACAGAGAGGATCTCCAAACCTCACCAGCAACCAGCCGCCCCCATTGACAGCAACCTGTTGGCCAAGATCCAGGTGCTGACCAATCAGTTGCTGAGTAAAGCCAGTGGTGGGGAAGATGACATGGTTGACGATAGGGGCAGGATGAATTCATCAGAGCCATTATTTAATAAGGTATTCTTAGCTTTTTAATAGAGCTAATGTTTAAACAGGTATTGCTTAACTTCAGCAGATCCTTGTTTAATAATTTATTACTTTAACCTAGCTTTATTAACAGAACCATTGTTTAAAAGGTTATACTAGCTGTTCAGCAAAACTATTATTTAATAAGGTTCGTCTTTTTAACAGCCATTATTTAATAAAGCAGTACATACTTTATCGACATAACCATTGTTTACTAAAGTGTTTCCTAAATATTCAGTGCGAACCTTTTTTTTAATAAGGTTAAACTGAATTTTGTCATTTTAATAAGGTGTTACATATTAAACTGATTATTAGAAAATGATGATGTAAATAAGGGGGTGACTAGTCGAGCTAATGACAAGAAATTCTGAATATAATGTAAAATGTGACTAGAAAGCGCAGCTGGAGGAATGGTAAAGACACACACAAATATAACCAATGTTTCCAGAACTGAATTAAACAATTTTCCAAGGAGTAGTGGCTGGTTTAATCACCGGAGCTAGATTTAATAGCAGTGACTGAGATATCGCTTTCGCCTTGGTGGTCAGAACGGTTGAAATGGAGAAAGACAGGTTTAACAGCCTTTTACTAATATCCTCAAGGTGTTCATAGAAACGGTCTGCTAGCTTCCTACTGGTTTCCCCAATATCTTTTGTATTTGTGTGTGTCTTTTCTATTCCCTGTTAAGCTTTCTAGTCATATTTTACATTCATATTTTATATTCAGCATTTATTAATACAAAACTCAGTTGTGGTCACACATATAGAGATTTAACATATGCATATTTATGAGCAGTTTTTCAGCATGTGTGCTGCCGTAGACCTGCTTGTGAGCCAGAAATATTTTAATCACTGGCCACAATTAGGTTTGGTCCTTGTCTCAGAGTTCCTTATATTATGTTGAGATTATTGTTGATTATTCATACCTCTGTGTACATGATTTATTGTAGGAATTGTTGGACTTTGACTATGGAGACAGCGATGAAGATGAAGACCGACAGGATCATCACCACCACCACCACCATCATCATCACTTTCAACAGAGACCACCGCCACTAATGCATCAGGGGTTGGTGGTTTTCTTCCATAATAAAGTATCGCAATTTGAATTTGTGAATTTTCAAATTGGTTACAAAATTAAACAATTGTATTCCATTTATTGAGGCACAACCCATCATGCGTTTACCAACAGCTTTGTATATCCTAATGTACTTGAAGCATCTTCTATCAGTTATTTCAGAGACATTTCTACAAAACATTGGTTATATTTATACATCTGTGTCTGCCCAAATGTTTAGTTACATTTAAGCCAAACATTTGGTGACATTTCTGCCAAACATTTGGTTACATTTGTACCCGACATTTAGTTACATTTTGACCAAACATGTAGTTCATTTTTAACAAACTTTTTTTTTTGCATGTATGCCAAACATTGGTATATATCTACCTAGTGTTTGGTTAGTTTTCTGTTCTGTCCCTTTGTCACTTCACATGAATACATAAAATTGGTTTCTAAGAATAAGTTCAACAGCTTTGGGAGAAAATGACAACAAGGCCAAAAGTTCTTTCTTCAGTAATCTTGTGCACGAACGAGGGTATGTCAATAAGTAAGTCACAAATGGTTACGTGCATCAATGTTGGTGGAAATTATGTTGAAAAATAAAAGGATAGTGTATGTGTAAAAGTAAACAGTTTTCAAGTTGTTATCTTTAGTTTTTTTTGTTTGTTTTAAACAACCAATTGTGACTTACTGACTTCTCCTCGTACATCTTCCAGGAGGATACAGAATCACGCAAAATGAATCACAAAGATTTTTTTTTCTCAAGTTTTTCTGGTTTGTTAGCTAAGGAACACAGAAGACTTTGGTAGCTTTTTTTGTGTTGCTCTGGTTGTTCATGTACTTTTAAACAAGTTGTTTTTCTACCTATGGTATGGATGTTATCTTTGTTGCATTTATTAATAAGATATTTATCTAAAATCAGGGAATAAATGAGCCTAGAAAATCCTTAAAAAATTAGTTTTTACATTTTGTCAAAGAAGTTGTTGAGGTGTTGATTTATTTTTTAATGTGTCCCTGTCTGTTCTTCGACAACATAGGATGCCACCAATGATGCAGGATCAGAACCACTTGCAACAGTTACAGATCCAGCAGATGTCTCAGCAACAAGAACAGTTACAGTCGGAGATTGGTGCCCAGGAACAGCTCCGCAGGCGTGTCCTGGAGCAGCAGCAGCAGCAGTTTGACAGGGAGATTGGCCAGGTGAGGATCTTGCAATCTGGGCAGTCATCTTCTTAGTGGTCACTGGCCTAAACTGCAGCAGAAAGTTCTTGATTGTCCAATTCTGGACTTAAGTCTTGTTCCAGGACTCGGGTTTGTGTAGGCAAACAGATACAGATCAGGCTTATTCATATCCACGCTGTTGGTTTCTAGCCTCTCGGGCAGATGCATTCTCACTTTGCAGGAACATTTTTAATATAGTCACTATTTACGACATGCTTGTTAGGGAGTTAGTAGGTCTGCTTGTTTTTCTTCTTCTTCTTCACTAGTTGTAAACTCTGGTGGATAGTCATGGTTATTCGTCTGCTTTGGGACTTTGGTTTTTCTTCCTCTTCTTTATTCATCCTAGTAAGTAAATATGTTTACAACATACCTGTAGTATTTGCGCCTTTTGGCAGATGCATTTGTTGTCTGGGTTAACAGATGACTATTTAACTTCATTTCTATCTGTTGAGCCTCTCATCATGGGCTGTGCCTGTAGAGGTCGGCAGGCGGCAGCCAGCAGTCCTGGGATTTTGATTACCTAGACAAATGAGCCATTAATCTTTCAACACATCTTTTTTTAACAGATCTGGCTTATTTGTGTGTAGACTGTTGGCGTCTGACATCTCTGGCAGGTACATTTTGGCTTAGATGCGAATGTTGATTCTGTCTTATGTTGGCCAGGATTCACTGTTGGGAACCTGTTTCTAGAAGTGCAGTAGACAGGTCTTGACCAGTGTAAGACTTGGCCCTGATGCATCACCATGTGTAGTTGAGTACCTCTGCATCCCTGACCTGGTCTAATAATGTGTACAGGCAAATGTTCTAGGAAGTAAAGGTTGCTGACATGATGTTGAGTGATCACTAAGAATATAAGGCCAGCATCATGTTCCCAGAAATTACTTCTGGTACTATTGTTTTCCTTCTCCAAAATCTTTGCTGCTTGTTCTTCATTCAGCCTTTCAGTAGCTATTGGCACCTTGTAATGTGGCTTACAGCTAGGCTGTTGTGTATTCGCCTTTTAGTTAAACATGTGATTTTCAGCTAACTAGTTGCCTTTTACAACATACTTGGGGACAGTGGGTTTTCGCATGGGGCTTTTGAACTGGCACAGGAATAATCTGTGCTAAAAATGTTGTTTTCTCTCATTACAGGCAGCAATGATTGGCCTGCAGCCCCCTCATGGTTTCAATGAAAATATGGACAGAATACCGAATGACAACCAGGATGAGCTAGAGATTCAGGAGGGCATGGACAGAACTGATTTTCGCAGACAGAGAGGCTCCAGAGAAAGATCTCGGTTAGTCTTTTGTGCTCTGTGATTCCTCATAGTTTTTATTCCTTGCAGTTTGTATAGGGATGTCTTGTTCTTTTTTTTTCCTGCCTGTGGTTTTCAGATGAGAAGATCACATGCCACTATGAACCCTGATGTATGATGCATGTCCTCCCCTGATCCATACAGCTAGATATTCATGGGAATGCTAACTGGTTAGACCTAGAATCTACCTTCTGTATCTAGAGAGCATGTCTGCAGGACATGTTCAGTATTATTATGGAATTGAACCGTGCGAAAGCACATATAGATCATCAGGGTATGGGGAGAACGGTAAAGCAGGAAGTTCAAGGATATCTGGTCGGCACTGAACACTAATACTGATACATTTGGAATTAGAAGAAGGAAATGGATCACCCATGGAAACCCTGAGTGCTGTGATCTCAGTTGTCAACTCAACTCACTATTCTTGTTTGTTAGAAATTGTGGAGAATTTCTGCTCATCGTTATTTCAGAACACTTGGGGGGTGGGGGGGGGGGGTGGGGTGGTTGCTTTCTCTGAAAATATTGGCACCTTTTTCCCCGGGTGAGTGTTGTACTTTGCTCTAGGAAGGCATTAGAATCGCATATGCCACCATTAGGAGATATGCTATCACATATATTTAACGTGTTTATTCTCAGACACTCAGTTTTTACCTGTCTGCTGTCATTTTCTCCTGTATCCCTATTCCATTTTTGACTATCCCCTTATGTGCATCGGGGTTGATAACATCCTGATCTCAAGATAGATACAACCACATTTAACAAATATTTATAATTAAGGGACACAGAGGTGCTGAACCACATGTGGTTGTGCTCTAAGACCAGGCTCTTATAAGTCAAGATCTGTCTTAACCTCTCTGGGGTCATCCTAGAAGTAGATTCTCAGCTGTGAGCCTGGCCAGCTTTGATTGGATAAACGTCCCTTCAAAGTATAGTGTGCTTTTGCCTGAGATGCACAGTCTGCACACAAATAAGCTTGACGTATAACACAGATGAGCATGCAACACTCAAGTCCTGGGACAAGACCACAGTCCAGAAGTGTATGAAAAACAAGGATTTTTTACAGCGGGGTAACGCCAAGGAGAAGAATATCAGTGAATAATACAAAAGAAATCATACACCACTTCTTTTTTCCTGCTGCTTATGCCTCACAGTAGATTCCTGTCATGTTGCTTTTACTCTCTCCACCCATTTCTCTCTTAGTCAGCCTCTTGCCTTATAGCCTGCTGTTTTCTTGCTTCCTGTAGTACGCTCCAGCTGCTGGCTGGTTTTGTACCATAAACCACAGCAGTAATGATAAAGTACAGATTTCCCCTGTTCAGTTTGCTAGTCACAATCTGAGTTGTGTTGATGCTTGATGTGAGCTCCATTGCAATGATCCATTTTTTTAGCATCAAATCTGATCACATGATGCTTGTGGTTGGTTATATTGTCATTCCACTTGTGGGTCCTGGAGCCCCATTTTGGGGAGGATGAAGAATAAACCCAGTGCCATATAACAAGCTTGTTGTAAAAGACAACTCATGAGGTGGTTGCTGAAATTGGATATGTTGGGCTGAAAGGCATAGATATGGCAGCCCAGCTAAACCAGAGCGCAATGTGTCCAGCCCCCTTTTAAGAGCAAGGGCTAAAGAAGAAGTATTCAGTTATGTTTGTGGTGTAGAGAATACGAATTTACTTAAAAATCTATGCTATTTTCACAATTATTCATTCAGGTCACCGCGAAGACGATCCAGACGTTCCAGATCTAGGTCCAGGGATCGAAGAAGACGTTCAAGGTCCAGAGATCGACAAAGGCGATCCAGGTACAGTGTGTATGTTTGTAAGGTTTATAATTTATTTGTAAATTTTGCTGGCATTTATTCCTGTCTGTCAAGAAAAATACACTCATATCTAAGTGTTTGAGACAGTAATTTAATGGATGATGGAGGTAGCAGACACATCTACAGCTGATGATTTAGTACTTTCTGTGTACACATTTTAATTGCATGGACCAAGTTTGACAATATTTCACTGAGCAAGAATGAAAACATTTTATTATATTTAGTCTGCATCTTTCAGCTGAACACATCAGATTTCAGCAAATATGTTGCCTTTTATGACATGCTTGTTAGCAGTCTGTTTCCCACCTCCCTAAAATGGGACCTGAAAAATACAATTGCTCACTTGACCTGATACTAATTGTCTTTTACAGTCTCCTTGGAATTGCACATTCGGGACACACCCCCCCCCCCCCTTCTTTTTGGGTAGTCTCCTTGGAACTGCACATACCACTTTTGGGAGCCTTGTAGGGAAGTGCTGACTTTGCTCGTGCATAACGTAAATTACGGCATCTAGGTTGAGTTTTTAAGTAAAAATCTTTCCAAATCTAAATGTTGACATATGGCTGGTATAAGTTGCAATAGGTAGGTCTACACCAAACTTGGTTGTTAGTTTAAAATTTTGAGGTTGGCCTGTATCTCTAGGTGGATTTTTAATTTCTTCTGATGACTCATCTTAAGTCCTTTCACTGGCATTTTAATCTGGGGAAGAGGCAGAAAACACAAAATATGCCAAAAGTGTATGGGCTCTGGCAAACATGAAAAGCCTATTTATGCTTATAGGTTATTTAAATATTTAATATTGCATAGATGATATTTTGATTGTAACAGATTTAGGAATATAGGGTATGATTTTTTAATTTATTTTAAATGTCTATTAAACAAAAATAATAAGGATAATCGTATTTAATCTATCTGGCAATATTTAAAGTAATATGAGAAATCATTATTTTGTCCTAAAATATTAACACTTTATTCTTATATGTAGTTTAATTCTTCCTTGTAGTTCTCTAGAGCTTTCTATCGGCAGCATATTTTTTGTTATAAGCTTTTTTCAGTGGGTCAAATATTCATTTACCTAGAAAGTGAGAAAAGACAGAAACTGTCAGACCTAAATTGTCATATGTCGTTTAGGAAAATTTCAGGACAAGTTAATTAGATAATAGGTCCCTCTATGCTTTGGATGTGTGTTTGTTGTCAGTGAGATGCCTTGAACCTGTGAAAGAAACATGATTTACCTAAGTGGGATCTCCACCTTTGATTGTTTCTTTTTCCCCATATGGGTTCTGTTGCCCTCTTTTCTAGGGAATAAATAATAATAAGAAGAAAACTCCACAGGGGAGCATGCACACCAGGGGTCTACCGGTCTTCAGTAGAAAATCCTTCATGGACAGTTGTTTCGGCCCATTACTATTCTAAACAATTTCAAAAGGTGGGTCAACTGGTTTATGAAGCCAGGCCCCAGTAGTCCCCTTCTGCGCTCACTGGAACAACGTACTTTCCAAACGAAACGAGACGACTGTGTAATCAATAGGTAACTGATGAAACGTTCATTGTTGTAGTGCTTTGTTCGCGCCGCGGCAGATTGTCTACCTGTGGTCGAGTGGCAAGCGAGATGTTGGACGTGCACTACCGCCCCTATAGTATGCTTGTGCTGTAGAGAAAGTAGGCTGCTCTGCGGTCGGACATATACTGTATGGACTTGTTTTGTTTTTTGTTAGACTTAACATTTGGCAGAGAGAGATTGATGGAATACACCCACTGCTCTTTAACAAGTATGTTGTCAAGGTGATTAATTAAGGATTTGTTGAAATCAGATGAGTTCGGCCGAAAGGCACAGTGTCACAGCCTAGCTATGCACTGTAACTCAACTTGCCCACTGAGCTTTTGAGGGTGAATACAGAAGACGACATGTAAGTAAGTAGAAGATTGTATTAAACATTTATGTTTTTCAGGTCGAAAGAACGAGACAGGAGAGACAAGGAAAAGGAGAGAGAAAAGGAGCGGGAAAGAGAAAGGGAAAGGAAGAAGAGAGGGCTCCCGCCTCTAAGAGAAAATCATATAAGCAGTGAGTTTTTTTAGTTTAATGCTGACATTGTTCTTTATTGTATCTGTTCTATAATAGTCTCCATAATTCCGAGCTACCCAGTTTTATTCCTGCTACAGATAAATTGCCAGCAGATAATCTTGAGTTAATTTTGTCAGTGCTATCGAGAGCCGGCTGTTCAGAAGAAATGACAAACTACTGAATGTAAAATTGCCTAGTGGCATGGGGATTTCGGTCACAGACATGAGGGAAAGTTAGGGCCGTTGTGATGTGTATAAGGAAATACTTGGTACCTCACCCCGGGCGCCAGAAGACTGCGCTGGTTTTTACAGATCTTCATGCAGGACTCCTGCCACACATCCCTCATGTGCTGTGCATAATGGCTCACCTTTGTGACCTGAACTGAGCAAGCAGGTGATTTCGTAGATTTCCCTAGAGATGTAGTGTCCCGATGCATTGGTGAAAACATCTATCAAAACTCATTTGGAACATGAGTAAAACCAGTTATCTGAATATACTCCCAAAGGACAACTCTCGATTCAAACTTCTATCAAGTGAAAGAACTATTGAACTGCTGAGACTCAGCCCTGGCCCAGATTTTCTTGCAACTTAAAGCAGCATCTCCTGCAGGTAGTATCTTGCAGTGCAATTCAGCCTCCACACATCCTTTATTGGCCCTCAGCGTTGTCGCGACCGCGTCAAAATACACCACGTTAGCCTGTAGCTGTCTAGCTCGAATGGCCTTCAGATACACGTCCTATGACATAACAGCAAAGTCTTAAATGTCCGACCGGAAAAAGTCATGCTGTTTGACAGAAAGATGCAAATGTCTGTTATCATTATCCCCACTTGCCAGAGTGCCAAAATCAAACGATCCTACCGTGTTGCTCAGTGCCTAGATGAACACTATTAGAGGTGTCTAATGTGTTGAAGAAAAATACACCTATTTGTGTGGTCATCAAAGTCCTAGATCTGCGGGCTGCTCCCTGCTGATCTGTGGAGGGCGCAGCCCATCAAGAGTGCAAAGCTGAATACACAGATGTGAGGGTAAGCGGTCATGTGCTGGATGTGATGATTCCTTGAATGAGCCCAAGACCAGAGCATCATGTGTCTGCTCCACCTTTATAGGAGCCTCACTGGAGGGCAGGGAGTGCCCATGATCTGCCCATCCCTTCCCTTGAGGGCCGACCAGTCTACACGCGGTTTCCCTAGAGGGGCTTTCCGCAGGCAACAGCTGTAGATAAAGGTTAAAAAAGAACACCATACAAGTAAGGCTGCATTATGTCGGCACAAATATGGCAGCTTTGCTGTAAACAGGCACAGCGCAGTTACGTCACTTAGACGAACAAAAAAGAAGAAATTGTCTAGTAAAAAATGCTGGGGTTGATGCAAGGTACAATACACCCCCCACACCCTGCAATTCACCACGAAGTGAATTAGAGAATTAGGTTAAAAAGAAGGGAAAGATAGGGGTAATTGCATATGTTGTCTGCCTTGGTGGGTGTTGGTTGAGGGCCTGTGCTCCATTGAGGGGTAAAGGTGAGATGAAGAATCAATTCTAAAGTCAATTTCCCCCCCCCCCAAGAAATAGTGTTCAAAAAGACAGTTTTGGAAATCATTTGCTTTCCTGTGAAGATGGCCCCCCCCAACCATGTATAAAAGCAGTCAAGAAATAGTAATCTCACAGTTTATGCCTATGAAAAGCAAAGGATTTCAAATGTGTCTGTGTGATCTTAACCACATTCTGTGTTGAGTGCTAATTGGTCTAAAGATATGGTAAAAGCACTATATGCTCAAAATGCTTTAGGCATAACATTTTTTTTGGGTCTTGTTTTTTCATTTCATTTGGTAATTATGATCTTTTTCTTCCGATTTTAGCCAATTCTGCATTGTAACTTTAATGATTTTCCCTAATTTGTAGTCATTTCTGCATTGTAATTGTTGATTATCTTTCCCAGTTTGTTCCACGACTCTGTGGTTGGGACATGTGACAAAGCACACATCAGAACAAGAGCTCAGGGAGCATATAGAAAAATATGGCACTATCAGAACTATAAACGTGAGTTGTCAGTTATGTTGATGGTCCAGCCAGTGTGTTTTTATTCTATATGTGTCTGAATGTTCAGTCAAGGTCAGTTATTGGGAAACATTTGGTAGACCTAACATTTGAGGAGTGGCTGATTGAGTGGTTTAAACGCTGAACTGTCACGCAGGACACCTGGGTTCAGTGCTTGGTAAGGGATGGAGATTTTTTCCCCTTATCTGCACATGTTGTGGCAACTGCACTAGCCATGCGGCCTTAAATCCACAGGCTCACGGCCTCCTTTTCCTACGCTGTCATAAAAGTGCTAAATGCTGGCAGTAAAAACAAAGGTCCTGGGTTTAAATCTGCATGGCACAGATTTTTAAACGCAGCTCGACCCAGCCCAAAATTGGTAGCAGTGTCCTGGGAAATGTTGATAACATCGGCTTTATATATAGATATAAAACAGCCACAAACACCAGATTTCCGGGCACTATTTCCAACTTTTGTGCCACAGTTTTCAGATATAGAGGCGTCAATTATCAGTAAATAGTCTATATAATTTTCCATTATTTTTCATTCCTTATTATTTTCGAGTTCAAGATTTTGAATGTTTACAACACATGACTTAATGAGGCTCTGTCAGATTCATGATTGTATTCAAATACGATGTGTTACTATATTTACAGTGTACTGTATTTAGGAAATGTGTTTTAAAATTTGGCTCTGTTGGGCCCTGGAACGCATTATTTTAGTTTTAGCTATTTTCACTAGGAAAAATTGCCTTGGAGCTCAAACGATTTGGAATTCAAACACCATCTAAGAACGGAATATGTTTGAATTCCGAGATACCACTGTATGTAGTGAATATCTATGTGTGCAGGAAGTACCGCCTGTTCCCGGTTTACCCTTAAAATTAATTTTTTTTTGTTTTTTTAAAGTTAAAATTAAAAAAAAAAAAATGCCCAGTCACAACCTTGAAAACTTTTAAAAATGTTGGTGAATTAGGCTACGAACCCTATCTATGTTTGAATTGTTTTTTTTCTCCCTTCTACGAACCCTGTCTATATTTTAATTGTATTTTCTCCTCATGTCTAATTCTGCTGGAAAGTTTATTTGTGTTTCCATGTGAACATTTTTATAGATGATTCCACCTAGAGGATGTGCATTTGTGTGTCTTACCAAAAGAAAGGATGCCTTCAAGGCATTGGACAGGCTCAAGGGCATCAAGATCAATGGGAACTCTCTCAAGGTAGGCCTACGCTGTGGATGCCAGCATCTGTAATATTAGTATTTTCTAATTTGCATGTGATCCATTAATCAATTATGGTAAACCTAATTTCCTTTATGCTTTTAAAAACACCTAATTACCTCCTGAACCTTACCCAGTGATCTTCAGTATTAATCCACATTGCATCAGATTTGTTTGTAATTGACCTTAGCTACTAGATTCACACTTGTGGAAATGGGTACAAGGAAATGTTATGGATAATAAAGGTGGGCATTGTGATGTAACCACATCATCCATCAGTTGCGGATTTGTCTATACAAATGTGGGTTAAGCACTTATATGTTTAAATGAAGAAAAAAAAAGCTTTCAAGGCATTGGATATGCTCGAGGGCATATTATTATAATCTGCTAATTTCCATTTGATCCTTTATTTTATTATTTTGCTCTGCTGTTTAAAAAAAAAACTGCTTTCCTGCCGACGCAGTGATTTTTGGTAATAATACACATTGAATCAGATTTGTTTGCAATTGAATTTGGCTCCTGGGTTCGAAATGGGTGCCGGAAAATGTTATAGAAAGTAAAAGTGGCCGTTGGAATGTTGACCTCATCATCCATCAATTGCTAATTGCTCTGTAAAAATGCAGGTCAAGCAGTGTATACTCCGAGTTGCACATGGAGTGAAAATGTTCCATTACGTGTGACTTTTATGTGATGCAGAGGTGCTCCTAAAGATAAGATCAACATTTCTTTCCAAGTTGGGGATGTATTGTATCTACCTGGGAGACGAAGAACCAATGTATGTGCATGCAAAACTCACGTCCTGGAAAACGACCAAAGTCCAGATGAGCCTGTAAATGCTAAGAAGAAAAAGAACAAACTTGTTTTTTTTTCCATTAAATAAAATGCACACACATACACTTACATTACATCATGGAATGACCTAAAGAAAATTACTATTATTATTATTCTCCAACAGATTTCATTTGTTTTTGTTTCTGATTTTCAGGTTGCTTGGGCTCCAGGTATTGGTGTCAAAGAGTCTGTGTTCAAAGATTTGTGGGATGTTGAGCTGGGGGTCACATACATCCCATGGGAGCAGCTACCAGCTGAAGTAACTCCTCTCGTCGCTGGTGGGATGGTAGATGAGGACTCTTTACCCGAGCGACTGAAAGGTAAGCCAGGAACACCCATTGTCATAGTTCCCCGAGTTAATTGTAAAGAACACTTTCTGTGGCTTTAGGTGTATTTAGCATATGATGCCAGCAGATTCTTATTTTTTTTTGGTTTTTCTTTATAGATGAACTGATGCACTTGTATGAGAAATTTCTAGGAGAAGAAGACATTGATGTAGAGTCAGTAAGTCAAAAATCTCCACCCCCTTAAAAAAAAACACGGCTGGTGCATTTGGCACATGGTTCCAGACACATATTTCATAAACCAATTGAAACTCGGTGGGTGGTGTGGTTATCATGAGCCACAGTGCTACCTCCCTGTTTGTGCGTCTGATTCTAATTTTAAAAAAAAAACGTGTTTGTTTTTGTTGTTTAGGAATGAATACTGGGGAGGAGGACATAGAGGAACCTCCGCCTGCAGAAAATCCCAGCACAGACAATGCTGACACATCACATGATGAGGACATGATGACACCATATCAACCACAGCAGATGTCATTTGGCCCGCCAGGTCAACCATCCAACTTCACATTGCCAGGTGTGCCTTTTTTTTTAACCTTTATCTTTAGCTCTGTAAAGTACGACAGGGGGGGGGGGGGGGGGGCAAGTTCTTGTTCAGCTCCTTATTCTTCTTCCTCTTCTTATTCTTCTTTGGTGGCATCATCATCTTTATTCTCTGTCCTCCCCCCCCCCCCCCCCTTTTTCCAACTTTTTGTGTGTGTTAAACTTCTTTTAAAAAAAAACACATTTCCCATTATTTATTGGCTGTAGTTTGCCTATAAATTTGATGTTTAATAGTTTGCCATTGTTTTCTGAGAAATTCTAGGCCTATACCCTTGTCAAAATAAACACAAAGGAATTTTTTTTTCTTGATTGCCTTACAGCTCCCCAAGCCACAGACATTAGCATCATATGTTGGACTTGTTTTAAAATACATTTCAGCTCTAAGATAGAATTAGTACCAAGGCAGACATGGCCTTAGATCTTAGTTGATCTATAAGGTGGTCAGTATCATGCAGCTACCTTTACTTCCCAGAACTTTTATTATAATGTTAAGCTAGGCTGACCTGGAAGTCGGGGTCAGTTTAAAATCTAGATATTTCGTCTTCTTTCGTTCGCTTGAAATAAAATATCTATATTTGCAGTGCTGTCTCTAGCATGAACTTCGCTGTCTTTTGTAATTCACTTAGCCGCCTATAAAGTTTGTCTTCTACCAGTCTCTCTCTTGGCCAGCAGTTGTGCCTGGAAAAATTGTATTTGGGGCAGACTTGGAGGCTGTGACCTATTGTTTCAGGTGCCAATCCACATGTGCAGATGTCCGATTCGCCCATCTTAAATTTTGTGCACATGTGGCTGCAGAGTGGATTGTGCCCTGTTCTAAGGCATTGAATAATGACTTGCTTTGATCTGTCCAAGAAAAAATTGGTCATAGTGGGAATTCAGATATGTGACCAGGATGCAGACATGTTGAACCACAGGTGGTGGCACACCAGGAGCAGGCTATCAGGACCCATCTACAACTCTCCTTGATTATTCTAGAAACAGGTTCCTAACTACTGGCCTGTCCAGTGTAGATTGAATAGGATTGACATTTCCTTTGAAGTCGGAGTGCATCTGTCTGAGATTTAAGGAACCAACAGTCTGCACACAGAAAAGCCAGATGTGTCAAGCAGATCTGCATGCAGAACCCAGGTTCTAAAACAAGACCAAAGTTGAGAAGTGGAAAAACAACTAGGACATTCCACCGCAGTTTACAGCTGGGAACTAAGAAGAAGAAGAAGAAATACATGACAACTATGATGACATGAAAACATGGCATCCCTGTTTACCACAATGGCCAGTGTTAACGGTTGCTTGAAATTTAAGATGCACAAGAAGTGTCGTGTACATAAAGTTTAATGCCTACAAGAAGTTTTACGTGCACGAGAAGTTAAACATGCACGAAGATTAATTTAAGTGTAATTAGAATGTTCCTGCACTGAAGCTCCCATGCTCAAAGAAATAAGGTTAGTTGCGTATCCTTTACAGGACGTTGCAGAACCAACCCCAACAGCCCCTGGCTGTTGTGTGGGTTTTGTAGGCAAATTTACGTCCAGTAGTTTGCCATTGCTTTCTGGATGGTCGGCTTTATTGATACCACTGTCGAAACCAACGCAAGGTGCATGGCCCGCAGCTGGGATTGAACCCGGCATTACGAAGCAATCGCATCGACTTAGCCACAGAGCCGGCCAAAGAAATAAAGGCAGGCTAAAATGCACACGGAGAAGGGAAGTGGAGGAAGTTCAAAGTTGGGTCTTCTTGGCAAAGTAGTCAGTCGTTTGTCACGTGTTTTAAAAGTTGTTGGTAATTTTCACAGACACGTAGTTGAGTAAATGGGTGCAGTTTGTACAAGGATCCCTGGAGCTAAAGCTCCTCCTTTGTGCTGCACTCTTGACAGTCAGTCAGTTGCTTTGCAGAATAAGACAGACATGTGAGATAAAACCTGATGCAGTAAAGTCGATCCTGTCAGCTTCCCCATATGGGTTCTGGGGCCCCATTTAGGGAGAAAATAAGAATAGATGAACCACTGCCCCAGTGTCAGGGTCCTGTGTGGCTATGGGATGATTGCAAATGATGATGATAGTGAACTTGTGACTGAAGAAAGGCGACGAAGCAACAGGTTTTTCCGAGAGTTTTGTTCAGTATTGAGCTGTGCAGGAAATGATCGGGAGTTGGAGACGGACGGACTGAGGGACAGGCTGTATTGTTTTGACAGTTAGATGTTTTTACGTTGTTGACAGATATTAGTGTTAGGGTGTCAGCATGGCGGTAGAATGATTCGGATGTTAATCTGTGTTAGCAAGAGGTAGGTTATTACGGGTATTTATAACAGTATTTATTTATGTATTTAGTTAGACGTTAGCGAGGCTGTCCTTGAAGGGTTGATCAGGTTAGGTGAATGGTCTGTCCACTTACTCTGGCCAAAGACGTGCAGAAGCACAGCGGTCCAAGTGTAAGGTGCAGTAGCGTCGGAAAGAGCTTTAAGGGAGTCTGTTGGTTCAGTACCTGGTCGCAGCAGTAAGGCCGGTACAGTACTGTAGGGGTAGATAAGTGAATGGGTTGGTAACACGAACCACTTTTGTCCAAGTGAACTGCCGCATTGATTATTGTGAACTGCATTACAGATTAGTATGTATGCTCTCACTGTGTTGGTCGATTGTGTTTAGGAATAGTAGACCTTTTTCTGTCATGGATCTGCCAAAAAGCTTTATTGCCCTGATGGCAGTGAAGTAGGTCTCTGACACCCCGTCACAAGCACAACATAAAAATTGACAAATTAGGGTTGTTTTTTTTTCAAAGTTTGAGTGAATCTGCCTGCCTGAGAGACGAGGAACCAGCTGTCAGCATACAGATACGCCAGAAGTGTAAAATGGTTGTGCATGCAAAACTCAAGTTCTAGGTAGACCAAAATCTGGAAGTGGACGAATAACCAGAACTTTCCGTCTGGAGTTTACAGTCGATGACCGCTTAGAAAAAGAGCTACCATAAATATTATTTTGCTTTCCTATTGTAGGAGGTCCTTTAGGTGCTCTAGGCCAAGGACTGTTGAACCTGCTAGCAGCAAGTGGGCCGCTGGGTTTACTGGGGGCCCCACCTCCAATGGGCCTGCAAGCAGCTTTAGGTGGTGGCCTTGCACTAGGGGGCCCCGGCATGCGGTTACCAAACAACATGGGTGGCATGAACAACATGGGAGGTCTTGGCAACATGGGAGGAGGCCTGCCAGGTTTGTCTGGTCCCGGGCCTCACCTGCCTGGCATGAGGCCGGGACAGATAAATATGGGTTTTCAGGTAAGTTTGTTGTTTTCATCTGCAGGTTTTGAAGAATGGTTATCATCATCATCAAGTTGTGCTGATACCCCACCATGTCACGATAAAGAAGGCTGTCAAGAGTCTTCTTGCATTGTCTTCCTCTACCTCTCTTTCCTGAAATCTTTCCAGTTGTCACAACATACATCTCATAGCATGCCAATAAATGATGCTTGTCGTCTCTTTCCGAGATTTGTGAGAAGTTGTCCTTAGGTCCTCACTATTTTTAAAATATCTGGATTATTCCTTTTGATCCAAGAAATGTAAAGCAACATTCTGTAAAACCACATCTCTGTGGACCTCACGGAATTATTTGCCTTGTTTACTAATTGCCCAGAGTTTGCAGCCATTTGTCATCATTTGCTCCCTGTGTGGATTCCAGGGCCACCACCACCCTCTCCCCCTAAAGTCATAAAAATGGCTAATTAGGGGTAAATCCTTCCAAGTCAGAGAGACAAGGACCCCTCAGTTTGCATACAAATAAATCGGATCTGTAAAAGGAATGTGCAAATAAAAGCTCAAGCTCTGGAACATAACCACAGCTTCTCCAACTAGTGGTCACAGTCAGCGAACATAAATAAGAAAAGATCATTATTAATTTCAATCCTCCCCGTGTAGGTTTGGGGTCTCTGTTGTGGGAAAAAAACAAGAATAGACCCACTGCCTCCCCCAAAAGTAATGAGAGGCAGTCTATTGGGGGCTTTCTTTGAAGTCAGAGGGCATGAGAGATTAGGAACCAACAGTATGCAAACAGATAAGTCAGATCTGTAAAATTGATGTGCACACAGTTCTTGGGCTCAGGGTCAAAACTGAAATCCAGAGGTAGAGTGAACAGCAGGAACTTTCTGCTGGAGTTTGCAGGAGGTGAACACAAATAAGAAGAAGAAAATTTACATTTATTCTGTCTTATCATGTCATGTGTTGAGCTTTTCCCTATAATCATAATTTATGTTATCATTATTCTGTAATCACCTATTGCTCACAGGTTATTCTTCCACTCTATATTTGTTTATATATTTTAGATTGTATGTGTTCCGACTCACCATGTCTCTGGTCTTTTAACATGTAAACTTCACATGTAAGCATAACTTATCTTTTAGAATTCTCTCCGTATAATTTTCTTTGCATTTTTTACCAATGGACATTTTGTTATGTGTAATTTATTTTTATTGTCTCATTCGTCAGTCTTCCCCCCACCCCCATAATCATCGTTTGTATTATATAATGTCTGCATCAATCATCATTAGTTGACCCTTACCTTCCCCTGTGTATTCTGGTGCCTCATTGAGGTATCTGAAAAAGGTGGTCCAAGAGACAAGAAAGAACAAAAGTTCACAGTTAGACAGAGGACAGGAGTGGAACAAAGCCAGAAAGAAAACTGCTAATAGAGAAGTCGGGTGTATCTCTGGCAAACCCCTTAACCCCAGGGCAGACAAGAAGCAACCGAGAGGTAAATAGTCTACAATGGAGTTTGACTGCAATGTAACAACTGCCAACTATGGGACTGTTACCTGGTGAGGTCCTAATCTCTTCCACAGTGTGACTCATACAACTGTCTAAAAGAATCTAAGTCTTTTTTTAAATTGCCCATTGAGGCTTGCATTGAAAAACAATTTCGATAACCTCGGCCACTGAGCCGCACTATATTTTTCAATACCTGTATTTTGTTAATGTTCTTATGATGCTGCTGTCAACATCTGACCCAGTTCTATTTTTGTTTGTTTGTACTGTGCAGGGTCCAATGATGGGACAAGGCAATCGCATGGCCAGTCCCATGGGAGGACCAAGTCCTGGCATCGATATTCGACCACACCATGCAGGCATGAACTCTCCAGGACCCAGAGGACCATTTGGGCAATTTGATCTGCCTAGATTTCAGCACCTGCAGAACCAAGGAGGGATGCGGCCACCGTTCTTCAACAGTAACCGGGCTGATAGTGACCAGCCTTCCATGGAAGATAGCGAGAAAAGAGCCATGGCTGAGCCCAAAGAATGGCCTCCAGATGATGAGGTCAACGCAGAGGATGAACAAGATGAGGACCCTCCTATAGATTCTGATGAGCGGATGTTCCCCCCTCGAGGATCTCACAGCATGGGAAGGCCAAACTTACCTGGCATGAGGCCGTTTAGCAATCTGTTGAGTCCTCGGGGAATGTTGCCAGGTCAAGGACACCCAAATGCCATGATGGGCATGCCCAGGGCTCAGAGCCCCAATCCTGGAATGCCCTCACTGAGACCTCTGCGGATGATGCCCCCTGGCCAGCAGCAACCAGCCCACCCCATGCAAGGTGGGCCTGGGCATAATTTTTCCCTGGCGCAGGGTGGAATGAGATTGCCTTTGCCTGGTCTTCGAATAAGACCAGGAGGTATGATACCAGCCCCCTCGTCTCCTCATCTACTCCCGCCGTCATCCGGGGCATCAGTATCTGTATCGGCTAATGGCCCCATGATTGTTACTAGTCCAGAACCACCGGTGTCAGACATGCCACCATTAAATGAGAGAGATAGAGACAGAAACAGCCCCGACTTACCCTTGCCTGGTCCGGACTTGCTTCCGCACCCAGATGATGACTTGCTGCGGCTGCACCCTCCAGGCTTTATGTCACTGAGGCCGATGCAGGGAGGCAATCGTCCGCCTTTTCACCCCTTTCATGGTCCCGGTTTTCCTCCTATGAACTTCAGACTTAGAGGTGGCGACGGGTTATTGGGGGCACGGCCTGATGGACAAGGTGGTGGGTTTGATAGGTTCAGGGGTCCACACCCTTTGAGGCCTTTTGGTAGAATGGATGGGCCTCCGTTTGGCAGGAGGTTTGATCTACCTTTTCGTCCACCTGTGGGCTTTTTGGACTTTGATGAAATGGACGACAGGGCTGAATGCAGGCCGTTCCCCAGGTTTGATCTTGACAACCATTCAAGGCTACATGATCTTGATGACCGCAGCTTGCCACGTTACATTGATGAAAGGAGAAGAAGTCATGAGATGAGGGGCGGTCATCCAGACCTAGAGATGAGGGGTGGTCATCCAGACCTGGAGATGAGGGGTCATCATCCAGACCTAGAGATGAGGGGCATTCATCTTGACTTTGAGATGAGAGGTCGTCATCCAGACCTAGAGATGAGGGGTCGTCATCCAGACCTAGAGATGAGGGGTCGTCATCCTGATATGGAGATAAGGGATCGTCATCCCGACCTAGAGATGAGGGGTCGTCATGCAGACCTAGAGATGAGAGGTGGTAATTCAGATATAGAGATGAGAGGTGGTAATTCAGACATGGAGATGAGAGGTGGTCATTCAGACATGGAGATGAGAGGTGGTAATTCAGACATAGAGATGAGGGGTGGTCATTCAGACATAGAGATGAGGGGTGGCCATCCAGGCCTGGAAATGAGGAGTGAGCCTCAAGACCTGGAAATGAGGGGTGGACCTCCAGATCCGGACAGCCTAGAAGATAATGCTCAGAGGTCCAGAAGGAGAGATGGGTCAGGTCGTGTCAGCAGGTGGCATGAGGAAACATCCCAACCTGAGCCCGCTGCAGACAGTAGCCCTGCTGAAAATAAGGCAGTCCCCACTGAGTCACCGCCACCTGCAGAGGAGAAAGAAACATCTGCTCCTCTGGAGTCCAATCCTGCTGCTTCTCCGGTAGAGACTGAAGCTGTTGCTGGCAAAGATACAGAAGCTGCGATACCCAATCCGGAAGTTGATACTCCTGTCGAAACGACGGAAGATAAGACTGTCAAAGAAGGAGAGAATCTTACTGAAGTGAACAGTCCGACCACAGAAACTACCAGTTCATGAAAGTAGTAGGTGACAGTGCTTGGTTCCTGTGTGATCTAGAGTTTTTAGTAAATATGTTTAGCAATGTTTTTGTATTATGGGCAGGGATCTAGAAATAAAACACTAACATATGCGGTCGACTGCAGCATTCTGGGACCAGTTATTCTTTCTAGACTATGTTTGAAATCTCAAACAGTTGCTCCGAAACAGACCTACTTTTATCGATTTTCAGACAGCATTTGCACTTCTTCGCTCCAAAGTTTTTTTCAGTGATATTGAAGCCTGTTGGTGTTTCTGCGAAGCCACGAGATATGTATGTGTAATTTGAACTCAACAAGCTATGCCCCTAATGTTGGTTTGCTTCACCAAGATTTGTCCTTTTTAATTAGCAAAATCCAAATCGTAGGGTTTTTTCTGTTGCAGGCTTATGTTAACAGTTTTGAGGATATTCCTTTGTATATTTTGTATACATTGTCCTCTGCTGACTGCTGGCTCTAGTAGATGTTTTAGAGCAGGGTTTCTCAACCTGCCGGTCACTGCCCTTTTTTGGGTCGAATGTCCCTGTCTCAAGAGTCGTCTAAGACCATGGGAAAACACATATTTATTGCAGTTATGAAGGGAAATAGTTGTCGGGGTCGCCACAACATTAGGGAACTGTATTCCTGGCATCAGGAAGGTTGAGAGCCACTGTTTTAGAGGGTTTCCCAACTGTAGAGGGTGGATTGTGTCGAGGCTCAGAACCAGGCACTATGCCTGCATGTTGGAGAGCCAGCTGGTGAGCACCAGCACTAAAGTTATCGGAGGGTTTTCATCCATAATAATGAATGTATTGAGATTCAGTTCATGGGCTCTTTGATAGTTATCTATAATACTTGGAAACATGAGGATCACTTGATGTGCAAACGACTTGAAAGTTTTGGAACTTCTTGGAGGTGTGGGAACTATTCAGTGATGTGGAAGCTACGTGAAATAGGGAACTGCTTGCAGGTGTGGGATTCTCTTAGAGATTTGGTCTTTTGGCGATGCGAGAACTGCTTGGAATCTGGAAATCACTTGATGTGGAATCTTGGTCTTGTAAGAACCGCTTCGAGGCGGTGTTCAGTGAGATTCTTAATTCCACATGTTTGATTATGTAAAGATATTAAGTTTTGTAGCTGAGACTTTGCTCTGTCTGCATAAGACTGAGATGATGCAGGTTCAAATCCCAGAATAAAGCTGGGGAATTTATATTTTACAAGAAGCATTGGTTCCATGGACGCTGACATGATCTCTTGGGTAGTGAGATTGAATCCCTAAGCTGAGACTAGGATGCATCTTCTTCAGCAAATTCTTCTTGTATGCTTAATCCACTGTGGACCTTAAACTGTGATGTCAGCTCAAAGCTCTCTTAGGTTCCCCCAAAGCTTAGTTGTCAAGTTTGCTGGGTGTGGCCACATGTTGCTTCAGGTCTGCTGGGGTTTGACCACATGTTGCTTCAGGTCTGCTGGGTGTGGCCATACTTGCTTTGCAGCTCCTCCAGGAGATGGTGGTCTTGATTCAGATAAATAAAATGAAGATCTGTGTGCAAGCTGTGCATGTAAAAAAAAAATGGGGGGAGGGGGGGGGGTGTATTAAAAGTGAAGGCTACAGGAACACTGCTCTAGCAGGATTGTCATGGCCTGCCTACAGGTGGCTGAAAGCCTGCTACCTTGGATGGATGGGATCTCAGGAAATAAGGGCATGCTAAAAATTATTGCAAATATCCTACAAACATTGGTTAAATGGTACCTGTGTATAACAGGGATAATGATATGGTACTCTAAAATGAATATGCAGGTATTAAATTGGAATAGTACCGAAAAAATGAAGATAAATATGGTCATAAAATTGACAGTACTGAAAAGGGGTGGTGCTGCAAAATGAAGATGAATGTGACGGCACCACAGTGGCCAAGTCTGGTATTACCTGACTTAGATTGGCAGTCAACTAGAAATATAGAATCTTGTTGTCATTCTGAGAATGACAAACCTTACTTTTCGTGTACAGCTGTGCATTTACAAATGTTCCTTTATTGTACAAACAATTATACATTCACTGAATGTGTGTAGAGAGAAATGGAGCTGTGCTGGTGTAGAAGTTAGTGCCTGTTCAGCATGAGTGACTGCAGTCATGCTGATGTTACAAAGGAGTAAATTAAACACCACACAGATGATTACTAGAAAGCTCAATGTTAATTAAAAACTGGTTGTAACGTTTATTGTATTTGTACACATCTTTTCCTGTTCCCCTCATGAGTTTTCTGGTTAGGGTTTGTGTTGTATTTAGTCAAGTCTCATGTGATATTTAGTAAATGGCATGTGTTTGGAATGTGTTCAAATTGGCGTCGTGCCATATGCAAAAATATTGCATGAAATACCTGACTACTACCGTAAAGAGGAGTGATTTGCCTGATAGGTTGATATGTTAGTGTTCCGCTGAGACGGATGCCTTTTGATACTGCTGGAGATTAATCCCTGGACCATGTTGGCTTTAAGTCTTTGCAGTAACTTTTACACAAGCACAGCTTCGGAGATGTGGGTAATGAGTCAATATGTGTGGTTGATAATGAAGTATCAACCGCTCCTTGTGGTTAATGAATGAAATGTAATCGGGTCATTGTTTGTATGGAATTTATAGAAGCATCTTCAGAGTCGTTCTATACTGATAAATTGCCATATCTGTGGCTCCTTGCATGGCTGCAACACACTGCCAGCGGTCTTACACCATTCTGTATTGAGCACCTTACCCCGCTGGTGTTAAGAGTTGCCGAAAGGGCTGGGCCATGTTTCTTCTTCTTCGTAGCATTCACCAGCTGTGAACTCTGTGAGAAAGTTCTGGCTGTTCATCCACTTCTAAACTTTGATGTTTTCCCAAATTTGAGTTTCTATGCTCATCTGTTTTACAGATCTGGCTAAATTTTATGCAGACTGTTGGTTCGTCACTTATCAGGCAGATGCTGACTTATAAGGAAACATCACTAATCAGTTCCCTTTAACGACGTGCTTGTTCGGGTGGCAATGGGTTGGTTCCCTTTTTCCACCAAATCTAGGGCCCTAAAACCTACATTGGGATTTCTCACATGGAACAGTTATTGAATTTCAGAAAAGCAGTGGATGACAAGTGATTTCCTTTCCTCTGTTACTGAAATTTATATCAAGCAGTGTCATATGTGCAGGTTCATCTTATTTTTTTTTTAAATCGTTATCGGGGATTCTGATTTCATCTAATAAAGTTGCAGGCAAACATCATATCACTAATTCAGTGGTCTCCATCTTAGAGAGATAGGTTTGAGACCACAGCTAGAAATCATTCAGCCTGAACTTTCTGCAGCTCTTTTTAACTAATCAGGTATGGTCTCCACAGTGACTCCCTCTAACCCTTGTGTACACTTGGACATACTTGTGTTTGTCCATCTCTTGATGTCTTCTGAAGTGTCATTTGCTACCTCTTGCTTGCTGTTTCAGTATTTTTCTTCACTATGTTTTTATAATTGTGCCATGTCTTTTTCACTTTAGTGTGTGTGTCTTTTTTTTTTTTTTTTTAATGTCTTCAACTCTATGTTCTCAGGATTTAAAATCTCTGAATTTGATTAAATTTGTTCTTATGATATAAATGAATTTCTGTATATCTTTAGAGCCTAAATTTGACCTTGAGCACTCTGCATGTTGTTGAAGATATATGTGATATTATTTGTGGTGAATGCTACATAATGAGCAGTTACAATTGTCTAAACGGTAGGCTACTAGTGGACCAGCTGGTAAGCAGTGCACCAACGCACACAGGAAGAACTGATATCATCAATTCTGGGCAAGGCTAGTGGATAATGATTGACAAATCTCTGGAACTGCCACAATTACATGACTTGGGAGTAAAGTATGATGAAGCACATGTATCGAGGCTGAGGTAGGAGACATTATAACCAACTCCTCATGGGAACAATCAATAGAGGTACCTCGGAGTGTCTGCTGCATCAGAGGAGTATGCTCAGTATGCAGTAACATGAATTGGGATAACATGTGTGTAATGCTCCCTTTAGACTTGGGTCCCCCTATTTCCACACTTTGAGGTGTATTGAACATATGGTGCTAGTCTTTATATTTTGATAGACCAGTCAGAATGAGTGAGATAAAACAACGAAATTCATTATTTGTTTACATTACCTCTACTTACTGCTATCATAAGGGCCAAGTGACTCATTGTTGGGGTATGTAAATTGAATGGCAGATAATAGAGACAGAAAAACTAAACAAAAGAGTTCAGTGGGAGAGAACCATGAGGCAGACCAAGAAAACTGGAGAGATAATATCCAAGCAGACCTACAAACCCTAAAGAGTTACCAGTTAGAACAAGAAGGCCAATCACAGAGATAAATGGAGGCAGTGATATCTGCAGCAGTGAACCTCAAGGGTTCAAAATGCTTATAAAGAAGAAGATGAATTCGGCGCTCTGTGGGTGACATTTGTTATCTTGTTTACTTCCCGGGTCATTGACTGATACCCACTTTAGGCTTGAGCGAGCTAGGCATCGTGGTAATATTTAAAAAGGGGGGGGGGCGAGGGATTGGCCCAACTGGGTATTTTAACCTCTTACCATATGCTAGCTGGCAAACAGGTTGTTTCTGTATCATCACCACTGATCGCTTTGACTATTAAGTGTTGCGACAGAGGAACAGTTTGCGATGCATTGCTCGATGTGTAGGTAACAATGGATATTTTCATTGTGTCAATGAAGAATATCTTTAATGTCATCAGTCCATATTTTTGGGCACCCTCTTGCTTTCACGCCAGATCTTCTTAGGTGTAGCACCTATATTTTAACAAGATGACTCACCATTCGATCTTCTACTTCTCAGTGAACTTGGTGCAAGTTGTTGTTCACACAGTCTGTCTGAGAGTGTCATTTCTCACTCTGTCTCAGATAGTTGACGACACAATCACAGATTGTTACTTTGTTTAGTGTGCAGATTTCTTGCCAGATTGACATAGTGTGCTGAGGACAAACAT